GGGGGGGGGGAACAGAAGAGTGCTTCAAAGACGAAGGTAGAGAAAAGGTGAGGTGAGTACTGTGGAAGTAGTCGAATATAACATACAATGGGGTGAGGGTAGTTTGAAGTCAGAAGTCAACTGCCAGTTAATTGACTTTTTGCCGTATGAATATACATTGCCCAGGGTGCACCACGTGGAGGTAAGTCTATCGCACACCCCAGTTTACAAAATAAGCTCAGTTAATTTAAGCTTGTACTCCTTTTTTTCATAACATTTCCATATAGTATCTTCTCGCTTCTATAACCATTGTTTGACATTGCTATTCCACTTTTCGATTGTCTGTCTCATTTTAGCATCCTCAGTAGGTTTTAAATTCTAGTTTATTCAATTTCTATTTTTTATTCTGTTTTCACAAAGTGGGACCACTTTTTTCACTTCACTTCAGTTTCACGCTCCAGCCTTCATCTCGTCTTCCCTTCAACCTTTTTTACTTAAATTCCGTTGCTAGCTTTTCGTTCCTATTCAAATCATGAAAAGGCGTCAAAATGCGAGAACAGTAGGATAGATTCAAGTACTAAAGAGAGGGGCGTGGAGGTGTGGAGAATAGAATTGGAAGTGAAGTAGCTTTCCTCCTGAGCTGGACTGGTCTAATAACCTTTTAAGTGGCTGATAGATTACAAGAACCCTACCCGAAATCAGAAACTCGTAGTTGAATGTACGAGGATTGGTGTTCTTAAATTCCGGTTCATAATCTGCTCCTAGGTGTTCCTGAGGGAGAATTCAGACTATGTGGGGTCGCACTATTTATGATAATTAATACTTGCCAAGATTGTCCGACTCCTTCTTCACTTATTTAATAATAATTTATACTATTAGAAATATCAGGATCTTGCGACAGTGCCAATCAATATACTGCATTCCAACCTGGCCATGAACTGCTGAATGCTAATAAGCGCATTCAATAGTTCACCGCATTCCTGCTTCGTTTACGTATCTCACCATCGGTAAAAGTTTTAAATTTCTCTTTTTCACTAAATTATTCAGAGAGCAATTCACCTTTTTTCCCTTATCTCTCCCCTGAAAAATAAGTGGAATGTGATTTGTATCTCTGTGGAGATATTATTCTACTGCTTTATTTTTCCGCTTATTTTTTACTATTATTTTTCTCATATTCGTGTATTAATTTATCTGAATTTAAACCTAATAATCCGTTATATTTTTATCTTAATAGAGTCACATATCTTTTCTCTGCCCAGTTCAAATTGTAATTAATTAGAACATTGAATCGGCGTGCATTTCCCATCTTTTGTTGGAGATAATATTTCATTTCCGTTTCCTTCCATTGCGAATCTTACAACTTCTTCGCATTGGAATTATGCCTTTAGCTCTTTCTACCTGTTGATTCACAGAGAATTTTAATGTGCTTTTAGCAGTTGAGACTCATTTTCACTAGTTTGTGACCAGGCTGTATCTTGAATGTCGGAACTCAGAAGGTACTGAGTATACGCAGCTTATAGCAATTGAGGGCAAAATTAGGTTGTGTGTGTGTGTGTGTGTATGTTCAACTTCCACAATATACTTAGTCGTTAAAAGCAATCTACGTTACACTACGTTTTGCGAATATTTACCACTGATTGGTTTGGGAGGCCTCTGTATGCACTTTCGAGAATGTTCTGTCGCACAGACAATTCCTTTTTGTTTGCCTTGATAGTATCTCATACTGTTCAGACTTATTTATCAGTTCTATTTTTAAAATTAATTTCATAAAAGGCGATTATTTTCAGTTCATACCAAGGGAAAAGCTAAAAGTTGTATGCAAGGCATTTGAAATTACAATAGGAGGGTAAATGGGGAGAAAGTTGGGCTTTTATAGCGTAAGAACTGAAGGCGCTGTTTGCGTCATTAAATGAATGGGAGCTACATTTCTTTGTGCACTTTCAGTGGGAGATTGTTTTTGAAGGCTGTAAAAAATAATCATAATAAATACCAGTTTTAAAATTGGTACTAATCAGATTGGCACATTCGCAAGCTAATAGCCTCCAATTTGTGTCATCGTTGATATTTTTGGTTACTGTAACTCACTACCTGGACGCAATAAGCTCAAAAGGCTGTCGATGCTCATGATTAATGCCTTCTACTGCTAAGTTGGAGATGAGCAGTATTAAGCTACTAATTACAAAGTCTTTTCAGGACCAATCTTGAAATTTCGAATAGTGTAGTGCGTCCCTCTCCCCACACCTTTTTATATTAGCCATTGTAGTTAGCTATTTCGTGTCGAATTCGTGAACGCACTTTATCCATCGAATAAATTATATTCTCAACACTTTTTTATCTTTAGTCTGGATAAATTCGATGCAGATCTGGGCCACCTTCAATTTGAGTCTCGTTTCGAGAGTGGAAATCTTCGTAAGGTTATTCAAGTTCGTCATGCTGAATACGATCTCATTCTCTCCCCCGATCTCAATACCAAATCCCATATTCAATGGTTCTATTTTCGAGTTAGCAATATTGACAATACAGTTAGCTACCGATTCAATATTATAAATCTTGAGAAACCTGGAAGTCAATACAACAAAGGTTAGTGTAATCAATATCACATCTACTTATATAATTAAGTAGCATATGATCCAAATTTGTGTCTTCTTCTAGGCATGCAACCAGTTGTGTTTTCAGTCAAGGAGGCTGTGAATGGTCGGCCTTATTGGTACAGAGCCGGTGGTTGTATCAAGTATTATAAAAACCGTTTTATTCGAAGTGGAATTACTGCAAGTAAGTAGTATTTTCCTTCGATCTGTGAAGTGCTACTTCGAGTCAATTTGATTATCAGCGGTTTATGTATGTAATCTGCTCCGTCAATAATGTATTTTTCTTGGAAATTACTCAAATTACACTGTTGCTGTTTCATTTGTTAGACACGTACGCTAGCCATAAGTAGATACATAATCAAGGTTTTTTGTTTGCTATACGACTGGTAATTATTGGTCGCTAGAACACATCATGTTACTTCCCCTGTGAAGCCCGAAGTCAGCTAAAGGGCTAATGATAACTATTAAAACGCTTGCCATTTGATATACACACACACACACACACACACACGCATATATATATATATATATATATATATATATAAACATCCCATGAATATTTTTCTTGTTTCCTTTAAGAAATCAAGTAACTTTTGTAGAAATGGTTAAGTTAAAATTATGTGATTTTTCTGGTTATATCTGTAATTTAGATAATCGAACCGTAAGTAGTTATGAATGCACAACGGCCTAAATGTATGTTTGGACCTATTATTTGCTTGGTTAACGGGTTAAACAGGACTATTATTAATAAATTTATTTATTTAACTTATTAAAATGGAAGAACAGAAATTTAAAAGTCAAGTTACCGAGTTTTCGAAATTTTGTTCATGACGTCGAAATAACTCAATGTTGCCTCCTCTCAAGAATTCACTGTGTTCGCCTTTTTTTGCCTTTCAGAGAGGAATAGGAATTTCTATACGGCCACGTTTACCCTCCAGTTCGAACACCATGGAGATGTCTGCTACATTGCTTACCACTACCCCTACACTCACTCTCGTTTGCTTGCCGATTTGACCTCGTGGCAATTGCGCGCTAAAGACGTTGATACCCTACGCACGAATTCAAAACTCTACTTTCGAGTTCAGAACCTCACTCACACCTTACTTGATAACTTAGTCCCTGTAGTGACAATCACAGAGGCGGATACTGCTTCAAAAGACACAAAAAGTAAGTAAGGGTTTGAAGCGTTACCGTTATATTTTGTGTTGTATTCGACTTGCAAACCGTTGTGGTTATTACTGTTCTACAGAATAGCATTTCTAAGGCCTTTTACGCGTGTCATCTACTCTATCCTCCTTTGGTTACGAAAATATTACAAATGTGAAAAAATAAGCGATTATGTTAAAGATTGGTGGATAGACGGTAAGTGAACAAAATGTACCACTACCACTGTTGTTGTGACTTTGAATTTTCGCCACTGAATAGGAAAGAAGTCCTTAGAATTGAAAAGTAAACAGAATGTGTTAAATTAGGGGAATTGTGCACAGAGGCAATACCGGGGAGAATGAATATAACCGCATTTAACTGGCAGGAATTCTAACTGATTTAATTTAGTGCAAAGTATTTGAATATGAAGGCCAACTAAGTGAACTTGTCCTTAAAATGTCAGGACAATAACTGCCTACATGATTGATTAAATAGTAGGGGTTGGGAAGTAAATGCGACCAAAAATGCGCGATAATGAGGTAGGTGTTTCATCATATTGATCTAATAAGGCATTGTATGAAAGTAACATTGTAACATACGGACAAACTCGGGGTAAATGGCATCATGTGATTAAGTGGGGGGTGGGGGGATTTTAGATTAATTAACTCAGTGAAATCACAATGGTTGAAATGCCTTTATCTTGGCATGCCTTGAATTCAATATTTTCGGTGCACTTTAGTGGAGCCCATTGTATTTATATGCCTATGTCCCCGCTGTTTCATTGGCTAATCGGGCGGTTCATTAACCCCCCCCCCCCCGAATTCCCCTATAGAAATAGGTTGGACTTTTGGTAACACTTCGATATTCATCTCCCTGGCTGAGTTATTTCTGCTTTTTTAAATAATTCTCTACTATGCTGCTGCGATGTCAGAAAATATAATTCTGTTGCCATTATCTACCTTCCCACCGGATATCGCTGGGCTACAGTTGACTCAGACCTAAGAGGAAGGTGAAACGGAATGTAATCACTCCAAGACACTTTACGCAGGATTACGAATTATTGACATTTGATTATCAAAATACCGCGCATTTATTAATTTCAAATGGCAGGTATTTTGAGAGTTCTCATTAGCCCTTTAGCTGGCTTCGGGCTTCGCAGAGAAGAGGAGGAACATCAAAGTGAAAAAAAAGTCGAGGGAGGGGGAACAGAAGAGTGATCCAATGATGTAAAAGAGACCGACACAAAGGTTTTAAAAAGGTGAGGTGAGTACTGTGAAAGTAATCGAATATGATATACAGTGGGGTGATGGTAATTTGAAGTGAGAAGTCAACTGCCGGTTGATAGACTTTTTTGCCGTATGAGTATACTTTGCCCAGGGTGCACCACGGGGAGGTAAATCTATCTCACTCCCTAAATACCGCCTATATGAAAGCAGTTTTGCCCTCAAATGACTGTTATGATGTCGAGGTCAACATGCAGCTGCGATTTGGAGGCAATCTTTGGGAATTGATTATCACGAAATAAAACTACCACTATGCCGCTTAGGGGCACTTTGTCCGAATGCGCATGGGAACCTGCTAATATTAAACGAGCTGTCTTTGCTGTTCATCTGTGTCATATTAGAGACGAAATATGGTGAGTTTCGCATTGATCAGATAAATGTGAGATGATAACGCTATCATTCGTAGTCATCATTTTGATCACAGCCCTATACCGACTGTGGAATAAATTTTAGTAAATGAACTTGCGTTGGCATTCGATTTTTAACGAACAAGAGATTATTTTATTTATTAAAAGGGAATAATTCTATTTAATTTTACCTTTTTGATGTGTTTTTGCTAGATTGATGTTGAATTAAATGATTATCAAAGCTTATTTAAGTTTGTTGCCAAAACTGTTTCCTAACCTATCCATATTTATCATTAGATTCTCCACGACCATACATCTTCATCACGGCGAGAGTTCATCCAGGTGAAAGTAACTCGAGCTGGGTAATGCAAGGTATCCTTGATCGATTGTCAGATCCCCAAGATCCCGAGATGTCTCGTCTTCGACGTTCATATGTCTTCAAAATTGTCCCCTTGCTGAATCCTGATGGCGTGATATGTGGCAAGTGAGTGAAAGTATTTGTCTACTTATTTCCTCTTTTCAGTAGTATATTGTTTGTGCCACAAAATAATCTACCTATCTAATGTTACGGTAATAATCACAGTCTAAATGTTTTTCCTTTTAGCCACCGCTGCTCTATGTCTGCAGTGGATCTCAATCGACAGTGGTTGAGCCCGTCTAAGAATTTTCATTCAACTATTTTTCATTCGAAATGCCTCATTAACCTACTCTCAGAAATCGAAAGCCCGCCTTTTGTAAGTTATTAATGGGGGGGGGGATATTTGGGAAGTGCTACCTTCGATAGATTTCTCTCTTGCATCTCCCCACCAAGTTCTTTAGATCTTACTGTCATGCTCATTTCAAATAGTACTATCGGCTATTGAGCAAAAAATTTCAAATCAAGACTGCGCTCCTAAGTAATCACGTGCTTCATAAATCAGTTTAAGTTCATTCGATGGTGGGAGGGGGGTGGGAGTAGATCATCCAACAATAAGACTGGGAGGTGACATATTGGCACTTCTTAATTGTTATAGACCTGTTAGCTGCCATTCAATATGTCATAAGTATTTAATTATAGAATGTTAATTTAGGAAATTCTTTTATAACCTCCTGCATGTTTTGTATTTCAAAATGTTCCTTTAGATTTACATTGACCTACACGGTCATTCTCGAATGAAAGATACCTTTGTCTACGGCTGTGATCCTCGTCTTACATGGAACTCTTCCGATTCTCTCAACTTGAAAGATCCCGACACCTGCTTTCTTGATTTAGCCGAAGTCATGTATGACATTTCTCCACCTTTCTCAAAATTAGCCAGCGAGTGAGTTGGCATTTATGATTCGTTTTGCATAACCGAACTTGTGGTGAAGATTGGCATTTGGTGAAACCTATATTCAAATTTAAGTGTCAAGAAGTAGCTGGTATTTAGGATTTGTCAGTATGGAATGGAAAAGTGAAATCACTTACGAAAAAAATTTGAAAGAAGACGGAGACTGTACCACGGGGATAAAAAGGAATGCTTTCACTTTAGTAAAACCGCAAAAAAATTAGAATAATGAATCATAGGTAGAACAGTCTGTAGAATAACGTGGTGGAGTGCTACATTGTTTCCGAAATAGATAGACTTCTTAACAGTGACTACGTCTCAGTCACCATAGGGGAACATAAACTTTTACTTATCAGTTATGATTAGCTTTACAAATACAGCCAAAGCGAAAATAAGTCGCCTTGAGATGGTTTTTCTAATAGAATTAGAAGTATAAAAACTCGTTTGCATTATGGCTCCAAAATCATTTATTTATATAAAATGCAGCCCTTTAGTTGACTTCAGGCTTCACAGAAGGGAGGAGGAACAACAAAGTGAAAAAAGTCGAGAGTGGGGGGGGGGGCACAGAAGAGTTTTCACAGATTTAAAAGAGACAGACAGACACAAAGGCAGAGAAAAGGTAAGGGGGAGTACTGTGGAATTAGCTGAATATGACATACAGTGGGGTGATGGTAGTTTGAAGTGAGGAGTGAACTGCCGATTAATAGACTCTTTTTTCCGTATGAATTTAAGTTGCCCAGGATTCTCCATGTGGGAGTAAGTCTAGCGCACACCCCGCTCTAAAATCATTGGGTAGCTCATAAGCATCTCTTTTTTATTTCGTATTAGTAATATCAACAATACGTATTGATTGCTTTATTATATATCTCATTATTGATTTGTCTTTAAAGGTTTTGCGTCTTCCCATTTTCCTATTTAGCTATTCCGTCTCCCGTTCGAAAGAAGCAACTGGGCGAGTAGTGGTTTGGAGGCAATTTGGTGTCGCTAGAAGCTACACATTGGAATCCTCTTATTGCGGAACTACGCGGAGTTGTTGGAAAGGGGATAATGGTGGACACCAAATTTCGCCAGCTATTCTACAAAATATTGGAGTCGCTCTTTGTAAAACCTTTGCTCTTCTCGATCCAAATGCAAAGAAAAATGGTCCTCTGTAAAGCTTATAGATGACTGATGTAGAATTTTATTTTCATTCCTGTATCAAAGCTATAAATAAAGTGACATTACACCAAGTTTACTTTTCTTTAAAATTAGTTAGACAAGACCACATTATCAAATAATCTCTGACTTTGATTTTGAAAAATTTGTGTTGGTATGTGAGGTAGTATATCATTCTAAAGTACTTCATAGTTTAAGCTTGGTTATTATGGCCTTCTCACATCGTTTTGAGTCTATTTGATTGGTTTAGAATAATAAGGACAGCAGATATTGTCTGTCATTCCGGTATACCTACAAATTTTACCCGTCGAAATTGCATATATATTTTCTAACTGCGTCTGCTGAGCATGAACGTGGTAAATTAAATTGAAATTTAGCATGCAAGACTGTCATGCGAAAACTACCATATATGTAACGCTTTTTATTTTGAAATTCTAAAATAAATATTGATGCTGATATTTTTCCATTTGGTTCTTTCATAAAGTAAACCATAATAACAATCTTATTTCATGTGGTGAAAGTCACTTCTACTTTGTGCCCCTTTGTTTAATTTCATTTGTTTATGATATGTTCGGTTATATAACATTTTTTGTGCTCGGATTTAATTTACACGGCTTCTTTGATGATCTGGTGTATTTCAAAATTATCAGGGCTTGAATAATCTTCATGATTATTAAAGAGAGTACAGCACGTCAACGCTACGATCAATAGCATGTTTATTCGTTTGCCTGCTTTGGAATACTTCGGAAACAGGTTATAACAATTGCAGCTTAATTTGGTTAAGAATTAAAAGGTAATAGTGAGTTATATGAAAATAACTTAAAATTGAATAATTGACCATAATGTCACATCTTTTGGAAACCTCGATTTACTTATTCGATATTGCAAACATGTCACTGCTTAGCTTGGCACCATGAATACTTTTCTTATCACAACGATTTTAATGTGAAAACAGTTACTATTGTAGAAATTTTTCATTCTGGTGAGCTCGAGAGAAGTCGTTATCAAATGTGTAAACTAAATAAAATTTATAATCAAGCTCAAAACAATTTTGGGAAGGCATTTTAATATTTAAACAGTGATAATATTGGTAGCAACCTGCCACGGAGAGATTTATATGAAAATAAGTAACATTTAAATACTTGCGAGTTATTATAAAATTAACTTTAATTTTAATGTAATAAATGCAAAATAAACATAATCAATATCTGATTTGTAAATGTAAACTGCTTCATAGTGTTCATTAAACAATCAAAAGTCGCCATTCGTTTTGTTTTAACTAGCACAATCGATTTTCACCTAGTATAGGCTTCTTGCGGCAGTTGCTGCAAGTTTTCAGGAGTTTATCTGTATTTCAGTATGTTTCAGCCCGGAGATAAAGTCTTCGCGAAGATGAAGGGATTTCCTTTTTGGCCCGCTAGGGTATGCTTCTATTTATACTCTTTATTTTTTGAATCTAGGTCGATCCCGTTCCTGACCATGTTGAGGTACCAAAAGGAAAGCTTCCTGTTTTCTTTTATGGAACTCATCAAGTGTAAGTCCGTAATTTAGTTATTTATTCTCAAATTAAGGTCATTTCTTCCTTCCAAGAGTCTCGTAAGTTTTGAAGCTAACAGGGATTCGCACGGAAAAAGAAAGAATGTCGCGAGAGCAATGGAGGAAATTGATTTGGATCCAGATGTTTTGCTTCTCGGCAAAGATCCTTCTGCTGAAGCTTTTTGGGAGTCTATGTATCCCCGTACATCTGCTGTTATGGAGCTAAAACCGGAATCTGTTTCTTCGCGTTCCCTTAGTCCCCTACCGATAAAGGCTACTAAACGCAAGACCTCTAAAGCCACTCGTACCCCAGTTACTAAACGTCGGCGATCAGATACCAAAGATGATGAATGTGACAGTTTATCTTCTTTAAGGTTAGCGTAGTACTTATGGAAATTGTGACCTTTGTTCCTTTTTTAACTAACCTTATGCGTTAATTGTAGTGAATTTGAAGTTGCAGAGCCAAGGGTTACAACTATTGATGTGGAGACACTCAAAAGGGGGTATGTTAGTTTTCTTAAATGTTTCTAAATGTTTATTCCGTGATTCTAAGTTCCTTTTGCTTGTAGACTTTTCTCAAATAAGGAACCGACTAGTGATAAGCCTACGAAAGTGTCTAGAAAGAAGAAACGCCAGAATTCTAAAGACACTAAGGAGTCGTGTTCTTTGTCCAAACTTTCAAGGGTATATGAAAATGCTGTTGAAATGGAACATAAACTCGAGGGAAATGCTGAATCTAATGACAATTCCTCTATTGAAATTAAGGAAATAAATGCCAACGATGTGTCTATTGGCGCATTATTTGGTGCAAAACAACCCACTAACGAACCACAACAGAAATCCCAACTTTCCACAACTCACTTTCAGTCTCCTCTCATTGACGGGGAAAATAGTTCTGACATATCGGTTGGTTATGTTTCGCCAATAGCTGAAAAGTACAGGGAATCTAATTTCCGAACGAAGCGTGCAGTTAGTAGTTTATCGGACTCGGATGATAAATCTCTTGACGAGGATTTAAATCGGTAAGATTCCTACAAAGTGCTTTAGGCGTTTTCAATTTCGTTTTTTAAGCCTTATTCTTACGGTTGCTTCTTTCAGCAATACTGAGATGGGACCTTCTCCATCCTATGTTGTGAATGGCAATGCTCACATTCAGTAGGTTCTCGATTTCCTACTTTATACTTTTAATGTTCTATTTGTCTTATTTACAATTTCCTTCTTAGTGACAAACTTGATTTTGAGATCAACGATGATGGTTTTATCAAATCGCCTAATAAGTCTGCTTGTTCTGAGCTCAATTCCTGGCGTGATTCCCCTGTTCTCGAGCAACCAGATGAAATGTGTGTTTAAAGTTAAAATATTTCTATTTGTCAGAATTTGATTTAGATTAATTAATTCTTTTTTATAGTAGGAGCGATGAAAATAATGATAGCGCTCTTACACGAACAATTTCGGTGAATCCTCTTCGTACTGACGTAAATGAGGCAGAAAAAATTCCATCATGGTGAATACAATTTAATTTTGTAGTACTTTATTATTAAATACGATTGATATTGAATAGGAAATCTTTTCCATTATATAGTGATTCGATTCGTGAAGCCAATACTCACACTGGCCCTAGCACCCCTTGGTAAGCTTTAAACGGTGTCAAGGGACAAATGTTAGTCAGTATTTCTTTGTTCATTGATTGATCTCGATTTCTTCATTTACAATAGTTCTGAGTCGGCTAAGCAAGATTTGGTCTTCGATGATGCCCATCGGAACAAACCGGAATCAAGAAAGAATAATAAACGTATTCGGTTAGTTTTAAACCTACCTTATGTTCAATTTAATATTTTTTTGATGATGTTTGACTATCATTGTAGAACGTTTTCTGGGAGCGAATCTGAAAGTGACAAATCATCAAAGTCTAGAATTAGTAAGAAGCTTTCCCGGAAAAGAAGACGTAATCACCAGCGTGCTATTGAAAGGGAATATAAATCCGAAGAAATTAAGTAAGATATTGTGTAGCCCATTATTTTTTTTAACATAGATGATAACAGTAAAGTAATTTTTCTTAGATCGAAGAAGTCTGTTGAAAGAAAAGAGGCAAAAAGCGGCGTTGCTCCACCTGCCATTGGTAAGGGGCAACACATCAAATTATTATCATATTGATATGCTTTCTAATGTCTCCCTTTTGCCTTTGTGTATGTTGGTACAGATACCACTCAGCATCTTCGCAATTTGGTGTTAAAGCTAAAGTCGAGTTTGCTGCGTGGTCGTGAAAATTACGGTGCTGCTGTTAACGTGTTAGAATGCATACGTGCGACGCCAGTTACTTTGCTTCAACTTACTGAAGTGTGGGAACTCACCGACTGTGTAAAGAAGGTAAGACAACTCTGTTGTGTTATGAATGCCCGTATTATTTTGTTGTCCTTCATCGCTAACTTTTTCCATGGAAACTCACTCGAATACTGAATAAACATTTTATGAGGTCAAAAGGTCGATCAAATGTAAGGCTTTGTTGTTCTTTCATTTGATCGATTTTGTTTGATCTACTTATTGTCTGGCATGTGGAATCTGTATTTATTTGTTATTTATTTATTTCTTAGTGCAAGAAATATCGTCTTTCTGAGGAGGTGCGAATTGCGGCCTCCAAGACCATAGCCCGTTTTCAGGAGATTCAGAGTGGAGCTTCTAAGGAGGAGGTAATCAAAGTCAAGGCTATTCTGGAGGAACGAAACAAAACTCGAAAACAGCAGGAACACGAACAATGTAAACTACAGGAGCCTTCGAAAACGCCTGAAAATAAATCTGCCTCCGAAAGTACTCCTAAAGAGATGGTAGTTGAAGTTCAAGTTTCTTCTGTAACCCAGTCTCCAATCTCAAATTTATCGCCAGATCAAACTAAACGAAAATTTTCTCTGGAAGCTTTGCGGGCAGAGTTAGATGAAAAGGCCAATAACTTACTAGCTCGATTAGCAGCTACTGAGGCACGTTTAATGGCTGAGCGTAGCAAGAAATCAAACAGTAATGAAACGACTCCCAAAAATCAGTCATCTACTCAACCAATCCCCCATCGGAAAGTTGAGGAAGCTCTTTCCCGTGTTGATGAGGTTGCAAGTCGATTGACAGTGGATCTGGATGCTGGATCTGGAACTGATCCTCTTCCACCTCCCCCGCCACCCCCTCTCCCTTTTCTTTCTCAAAATCGACTTTCTTCCAATCGTTCTCAAAACTCCCAACCGGTTGATTTAGACACTCGTATCAGTCAGCTGATGAAGGGTGTCATTACCCCAACGACCACGTCTCCCAAATCCCATCGTTCCGAGTCATCTTCTGAACTGCCATCTACAAAACTTCTAGCTATTCGTGAGGAGATTAAACGGAAACGGAAAGCTACAGCAGAAAAGAAGCAGGAATTGCTCGATGCTGCTCGGAGGGACAAATCTAAGGATGATGTGATCTATGATCTTCTCGGCGTTTAGATTAGTTATTGAAAAGGTGTGAATCCCATGTATTCATTTGAATTATCTGTTTTATAGGGATTGTATGTGTGTATATATATTTATCAACACTTGTGATTTAATTTGCATGCTGTTTTGTGGATAGAGCTGATTGGTGTTATGTACATATTAATATGTATGATACTAAACAGTTTTGTCTATCAAAACAAGAAACCTAAGTGAGCTTGCCCGTTCTACAGTTGGAGGCTAAAGGTATGATCAATCACTTTTATTTAAAAGATGTTTAGAAGTTAGCCTTATCGCTGGATTGTTTTGCAAGTTATGTGGTTAGTGTTATGGTCTAAATCTAAACTTTACTTCGAAGTGACTAAATAATAGTCTACTTTAGGTCATATTTTGCGTAAGTGACGCAATACATTGAAAATCGGGCCTTTTTATTCTAGAATTGTACTTTATATGGCTGTCAATGTGTATGTTGGAGGCCACAAGATTGTTCGGTCGCGATCGGGTGCACTTGTTCATTCTATCTGGTGCAATGCTACTCAGCGGCGTTCAGGCTATTTCCCCCTTTATCTAATGCACCTGTGAACACCTCCCAATGAATTGTCGAATTGAATAGTCGTTATTTTACCTCTGCCATGTGGAGCTTGTATAATTTGCCATTTAGAAATGGTTACTAGGAAATTACGCTTACGTTCTAGTCACGAGAAGTGTTCGACTGTGGTAGCTTTGCCATGATTTATGCTCAATCGTGAATCCTTAGATTAGGCCTTGAACGGCAAAGATCAAAAGCCATTTATTTTCAGTTTTTTTGGAACCGAATTGTAAGTGAGTAACATTTCCTTAATTTTATTTAGATTTCCTTGATTTATTTGTATTCCGATCACTGTCCTATTTCCAGCTGATTTGGTAGTACTCTCACGTGAATTTGATTGTACTTGATATCGACTAAATCTGTATTAAATTAAAGTCGTATTGATCCACTGTACTTTTAAGCCAACGTAATAGGACACAGAAATCATGCATTTCCTATTTATACTGTCTTCGTGTTAAAGATGGCATTCCTGGGAAAGTAATTACTGTTATATTTGAAAGGGCTTCGTTATTCCTTACATTCTCTTTAACTTTTGTTAGCTAATTTCGGAACAATTTATAGGTACTTTCTCAATGAACCATGCAAATGGTTGCCTTCGAGTCTAAATTGAGGGAATGCTTCTTAAGACAAGTTTATGCTGTTGTTTATAAGTTAATCTTTATGACATTTGCTGTAAAGCTCGTTGAATTAAATATAAGTGAAGGATCGCGTTTTCTCTGGAGACATGCTGTTAATCTCTGATTGTTCCATGTATTTTGAAAATAATTGCAGCTGCTTCATTTATTGATACTCTGTTTCAGAGTTCATTTATTCTTAATCAATACTGCAAGTAATTTCCGATTTTCGAAATCAAATGATTAAATTTAACAATACGAATGAATGACTATGATTTAACTATCGAGTTATCTAAAGTTTGACCCATACAGTTTTCCAAGCCTCTTCCATAATGTCTGTGGTCTTGTTTTTTTCGTGAATGTTTTTTATAGCCGATGAATACTTTTATATCCGTATTTTGCCATTATTTCACTATTATTTTCCGTCCTTATCTTAGTGATGTCTTAACACCCACTTGATTATTTATATCATATTGTTGAATAAGTATTTTTCTTTTCAGAATGATTTCGTTGGCTTGCTTTTGAGCAGTGTTTTGATTCTGTCTTCATTCCCTGGCCTTCTGTACATATTGTAAGTATTACCTCCATTTAGATAATTATTAATCGAGTGATGATTATTACTTTTATTTAAAAATACATGAAATATTGTCCAAAGTATTTATATACTTTTCTTTCTTCATTTTAGATATCCTTCAATAACCAATGTTGCCCCATTCTTATTGTCACGTGTATTTTGCCTTTGTCTCTCAAACATACGCACTATGTGACTTTCGCGATTTTGAACAATGTATGTTTATTCTTGGCCAAAATTCCAGTCCCTTCTACTAAACGGTCTTCGAATGAAATTAGCTATCGATCGAGGATCAATTAGAGCTAAAATTTGAATTATCATAGCAATTCAACAAGAGTAGTGAATGAATTGCTTTATTGACTACGATAAACTAGATAAAATATCGACCTAATTGATAAAACTAGAACCTAAAATGCATTCCTGACTAGATTGTTTATCTCATAAATGGATCGCTTAATGAGTTGGAAAACTACTAAGTCGACAAGTGGTGGTACAATTGTCGAAGGTTGGTTAATCGAAATCCTCGCTTCATCTTGTCCAGCGCTGATTGTGTTTATCGGTGAACCTTAGTATATCGAGGGGAGGCGTTTATTACTAATCACGTCTTACTTTTCCAAGGTTGTGGTCATTATGGAAGTTTAAAGACTGTGAACACAACTGCTTATTTTGCGATCTGCGGGCTTTCCGGTTTTTGACTATTCTTAAGTTGATAGAGGCATCTTTGAAAATTCATCGTATTCGAAGATCATTCCACCGAGTGTATTGCTTATAACGGTAAGAGAGGTCAGTTCATAGAACACCATTTAAGGGCAAAGTAGGTTTTTTGCCATAGGAAGATATATTCGGGTCGCTTCTTCTATGACATCTCATTCTAAATTAACGAGTTTAGTCATTAATTTCATTCGACTTATGTCAATGGATATCAATTTCTTGACCTCCGCGAAAGCAACTTAGAATGCGGTTTTTCCAAAGTGTCGCTCGTCTATGTACAGGAGGTACTACAGTCAAAGTTTAACGTCGAGGCATTCCCTTCTTATTTCCGTTTGTTTCACAGAATTAAGATTGGTATTTAGTTTTAATCCTAACTGAAATTTGAGTGATTTGTTGACCTTCGCTGAACGCCTATCTGGTCCAAATTATAGGACCCAAACTACAAACATCGAAAATAATGCTTGAATGGTTATATCACGCTAACTAGTTCTTCAATAATGTGACTTGATTTTACTTTAAGCAGGTCTGTGACATTTAAACTCCTCTTTTTTCTTAGACTGACAGGGTAAACGAATTTTAAGTGAGGTGAATTCTCGCTTATTTCTAGGACCGATTTTATCAATTCTTTGTCTCAAGTCGTAGATATTTCAGCTGCAATTGTATTGCAAAATTTAACCTGGAAGTAAGCATGAATTTATACAGGACAAACTTAGCATAAGCAGAATGTCAGTGCTTGCCTGGGATTAAATGGAGAACTTTTAGAAATTTAATTATTACCAAAAATTAAGATCCATTAGTACGTGCAATATTCCACATTTTGTTAGTCAAATAACAATCATTTCCTTTCCTTTTTTAGTATTGGACAATCAGAATAAGGGCAGCTTCTCTGTTCTTTGTAAGTTTGCAGAGTTAAATGTGTTTAAACGACGACAGGCGATTTCTCGTAAGTTTTAGCTAACCACTCTTCTAAATTAATACTATCTAACCCCTTGTTTGCAGCGTAGAATTAGACTCCCTTTTTCACATTTTACGTCGGCAAAGCTGTGACGCTGCCTAGCTTGGATTGAATCCAAGTTTACGCTAACCAATGGGAATAAAGTGAGCATCGACCAATTAATCGCCTTGATAGGCAATTTTTGGTAATCTGCTAATGAATATGGGAAGGGTAAGTTCTGAAAATTGAGAGGCGACTAATGAACTTACTGAAGTCTCTGGGGTTTCTTGCCTCATTTCTGAAATGTTACCATTTTCTTTTCCAATTTTACTTAAATTATTTACCTTTTATCTCGAATAAATGTTTAATCCGCCTTCTAACATTGGAAGAATTCCTATTTCTTGTGAAACAGAGATAGTAGGTAAACTTAAGTAATCAAGGGAATCTTACTTTATACGAGCTTTAAAGTAATCCGATTTTCCTTTTTTACTAAATCAATTTCATTTAATCATTAGATGATGTTTTTTATAAAAAGCAAATCTGGATGGCATTTTTGTGTGATTTTGCAGCTTGTCTCTCTATGCACATTTATTGCATGAATGTGTGCGCTAAGCAAGTTCCCACCGCCCTAGGTTTTATTAGGCTATTGATATCTTGTTCTTCGTACATAGTATTCGTTGAGGCATGTTAATAGTGGATGAAGAGTTAGCTCAAAAGTGCATTGTTTGAGTTGTCCTTAGTAAGTTTCATTCATGTATACTAGATTATACTTGCATACCCCCCCCCCCTTTAAAATAATATTAAAATACAGGTGACAATGTGGCGTTGAAGCGTGTGTGATAGCATGGCGAATTCTGATAAAGCAGAGAATTCTTGGTTAATACGTACGTCATAACGTTAATACAAGATCTAAACTATAAAGTATTAATCCAAATCTTTTACATTCATCTTGCATCCATATGTGTTTTTGGATAGCGTACACTTAAAAAAATAAGAAATTGGTAAGCTGTATGGTAAAGTACGTTTACTTCAAGGTTAAGTGGGTATCTTTTCACCAATATAAGAGGGTGACGCGCCATTAAACGTTCACGTTTGCTGAATCAGATATCTCAAGGTCGGTGTTCATCGCTGCCCTTCTAGGGATGGGTTGACTAATCGCGTTGATTAATTGTTGTCAATAGGAAAGGTAGAAGTACTTCTGATCGGAATGACTATTGCCCATTTTCTCTATTTCTAATTCGACTACACTTAACACTTCTCGTATCGGGACTAGTTTAAGAGAAGTTGAGTAGATTATCTAATTATTTCCTTCATTTTGTCTGCTGTCAACGATGTAATAAATAAAATTCGTTATCGTGGAGCACATATATCATAATAAAAGGTTAACAAAGGCCAACCTTTGCAGATAAGCGAATTGCTTCTTGTCAGTGTCAGGTAACTTGGGTGCCTATTAAGTACATCAATTTGACTGAAAGTTAATGCAAGAAACTGATAATTAATTTTAAGCCAACGTAGTATTGATGGTGGAGTGGAATGTAGGATAATGAGTGATTAAGTGTTATAAACCACTGAATCAACGCAAGTATAATGAATATC